TAGTTTTGATGCAAAAACGCATGATCGCACCGGCTCGCCTGGTGCGTTCCAGCCTTTGTTTACCTTTTCTGTCATTCATTCTTACATTTTTCAACAAAATTTCCATTTAACCTTAAATATTCAAATAAGGAGGAGAATCGAAGAGGAATGTGGGAAATAAGAACTGAGAAATTAGTGAAATTATTTGAATTAGTGGAATAACTGTGACTTGTAATTTCCAAGCCTGCCTTCCAAAATTCAATGTTTGCTTGTACTCAGTGGCACAAGTCTTATCCAAGCAACTTGGAGTGCTTTGGTACGACGCGAACATAGGGTCAGAAGGCGAAAAACCCCGGAACTAGTCGATTTCAAGCTTTCCCCCTTTCCCACAAGAACACATTATTTTTCAGCATTGTAGCCAGTGGTCAAGGAGCCAGTGGTGTGCAGCGGGCGTGAAGGAGTGCTAGCACGCTGCTACTGCAAAATGGAGCGGATACAGCAGCAGCAACAGCAGAACGGGTGCCGTAAAGCCGAGGATATACTTCACGTGCTGCGCGATCGAGTGGCTCAACTGCCGGGCACACGAGATCGCAACGGGCGACCGGTGATTGTGTTCCCGGCGCGCGAAAACTCAACGCCCATCAATTCGGACCACATCCGAAACATACTTATGTACCTGCACGACGTCACTGCGTACTTTTCATTTTCTCATTAAATCAATTTTGATTGTTGACAAACTGGGCCCACAATGGTCACTTTAAAATTATGAACTAATTTCTTATAAAAATTTAGCCTCATTTTATCTGTTTTTATCAGCACCACAACCGCCATACTGACAAGATGCAGCTCTGTGCTGAACAGGGATGTATATGACTTAATGGACCGAAACATTCCTCTTTAGCTAATTTTTTTTAATAATTATCGTAATTGATCCCAATTGTAATTATCGTAATCGTATATTTTATCGTAATTATCATATATATTTTTATATCGTAGTTGATACCCCTGTTATTTTTTGATGCAGTACCACTTCTGCACATAACATGTGTAACGACCAGATTTGTCGACTTCTTTTTCTCAATTTGTCAACTTTCCTGGTTTCTCTCAACTACGTCACTAGATAAGCTGAAGAAAAGTGGAAGAAAAATGACGATTGCTTAGGGGAATTATTTATATCGTTTAGACGGAGAGTGGGTAGATTTCTGTAGCTCAAGGATCCGGGAAGCGTAAATTATTCGCTTGTCAAATACTTTAAAATATTTTAATTTTTTGAACATTGCTGTCTTTTTTTGAATTTTACTTGACTTTAATTTTACTGTTGAAGATGATTTCTGTGTGTTTTTTGGCGGATAACATGCAGCAGC